GCCCTCTTGTTCTCTGGCTCGTTGACCCAAATGCTACTGCTCGCATCGCACGAAGCGCCACTCGCACTTCTTGCAGCAGCCTTGACTGGGCCTGCGCAAGTGAGCACTCCGGCTCTCATCGACATGTGGCTGCGCCAGGCCAGGGGCTTGATGCGGACATAGCGCGCCGACACACAGGACGGGAGAATGCCCTGCACCTTCGTGTCGCGGTCCTTGTTGCCCGTGAAAGTGGCGCCAAATTCCTGCCACGACTTGCCGTCCTCGGACACGGACACCTGGTAGCTGGTCACCCACTGAGAAGAACGCCAGCGACCTTGAGTCACAACGCCCCTGACTGTCTTCGTTGCGCCCAGGTCCATCTGCATCCACTGGCCAATGGAGTTGTACTTGGAGCTCCAAGCCTGATAGGAGTCGAGAGTGGACTGGGCGTGCCCGGTGCCCACCTTATTATTGCCCCAGACGCTGGAGTACGCCCTCTTGTTCTCAGGCTCGTTGACCCAAATGCTACTGCTCGCATCGCACGAAGCGCCACTCGCACTTCTTGCAGCAGCCTTGACTGGGCCTGCGCAAGTGAGCACTCCGGCTCTCATCGACATGTGACTGCGCCAGGCCAGGGGCTTGATGCGGACATAGCGCGCCGACACACAGGACGGGAGAATGCCCTGCACCTTCGTGTCGCGGTCCTTGTTGCCCGTGAAAGTGGCGCCAATGTCGTGCCACGACTTGCCATCCTCGGACACGGACACCTGGTAGCTGGTCACCCACTGACCAGAACGAAAGCGACCTTGAGTCACAATGGCCCTGACTGACTTCGCTGCGCCCAGGTCCATCTGCATCCACTGGCCAATGGAGTTGTACCTGGAGCTCCAAGCCTGATAGGAGTCGAGCGTGGACTGGGCGTGCCCTGTCCCAGGCTTTTGGTTGCCCCAGACGCTGGAATATGTCCGCTTGTCCTCCGGCTGGTTAATCCAAACGCCACTGCTGGCAACGCACGAGACTGCAGCAGCCTTGACCGTGCCTGCGCAGGTGAGCACTCCGGCTCTCATCGACATGTGACTGCGCCAGGCCAGGGGCTTGATGCGGACATAGCGCGCTGCGACAGGGGACGGGAGCATCCCCTTCACTTTCGTGTCGCGATCCTTGTTGCCCGTGAAAGTGGCGCCAATGTCGTGCCACGACCTTCCATCCTCGGACACGGACACCTGGTAGCTGGTCACCCACTGAGAAGAACGCCAGCGACCTTGAGTCACAACGCCCCTGACTGTCTTCGTTGCGCCCAGGTCCATCTGCATCCACTGGCCAATGGAGTTGTACCTGGAACTCCAAGCCTGATAGGAGTCGAGAGTGGACTGGGCGTGCCCGGTGCCCACCTTATTATTGCCCCAGACGCTGGAGTACGCCCTCTTGTTCTCTGGCTCGTTGACCCAAATGCTACTGGTCGCATCGCACGAAGCGCCACTCGCACTTCTTGCAGCGGCCTTGACTGGGCCTGCGCAAGTGAGCACTCCGGCTCTCATCGACATGTGCCGGTACCAGTCCAGGGGCTTGATGCGGACATAGCGCGCCGACACACAAGACGGGAGAATGCCCTGCACCTTTGTGTCGCGGTCTCTGTTGCCCGTGAAAGTGTCGCCGAAGTCCTGCCACGACTTGCCATCATCGGACACGGACACCTGGTAGCTGGTCACCCACTGACCAGAACGAAAGCGACCTTGAGTCACAATGGCCCTGACTGACTTCGCTGCGCCCAGGTCCATCTGCATCCACTGGCCAATAGAGTTGTACCTGGAGCTCCAAGCCTGATAGGAGTCGAGAGTGGACCGGGCGTGCCCGGTGCCCACCTTGTTATTGCCCCAGACGCTGGAGTACGCCCTCTTGTTCTCTGGCTCGTTGACCCAAATGCTACTGCTCGCATCACAGGAGACCTTACTTGTCTCTGGAATTCTCAATGCCTTTTCCCCCAAGCTACTGTCCCTGAGAAAGCTAGAGCCGAAAACAAGGGAGTGCGTGGAGACAGAAAACAGAAAATAACCGGTGCGACCGCGAAGAGGGAAGGAATGAAAACGACAGCTGGAAACGACTTGAAACGGCGGGAGGCAGGAATTGGGCTCCTGGGGGACATGATTTGGAAGGCTGCGGGGGTCGTGCTGGAAACGCCGAGGGAACCTGCCAGGAAGCGGAAAAACATTGGCCCAGGTGGGCAAGGAGCATTCGGAGAAACGAACAAAAACGAAGTGCACGCCGAAAGCGGCAACGTAAACTGGAAAATGGGCGCTGTATCGCTTCCAACCCTCTTCTTCCCCTTCGGGGCGGGGCTTACAACTCACTCTCCCCCCCGCTGGGTCTGGACTGGGGCGGGGGGCGCGAGCGGTCGCCCTAGATGGCCCTGGGATGACTCCAGGTAGGCCAAGATGCACTCAAGATAACACGGGAGCCCGGGATGGCTCCAACACGCCCCAAGATCGTCATCCGACGGCCCGAGAAGGGTCACGGAGCCTCCCGAGAATGCCTCCGAGAGGCTCAGTATCCTCCAAGCAAACAGGATATGTCAACGATGTCCGCATTCTTGCCTTCTCGCTTTCGATTGCCTTCCGAGGCTCCTATATCGCCACAGGGAGCCCCAAAAGGGTGGCATCAAGGCTCCAAGACGGCCTCAAAGGCCCCCAAGAGCGCCTCCCAGGCGCCCCACGAGGCGATCTGCTGGGCTCCAGAAGTGCAGCGCTACTTGATATTCTTCTCATCGGCATAATCATTTAACAGCGTAAGGTTTGAAAGAGCTTGAGATATCAGGGGCATTATTGGGAGCCTTTTGGGCCAAGATGATTTAAAGACGGCCCAGATACTGAAGATAGTCCAAGTTGGTTCAAGATGGCCTCCTGCATGCCTCCAGGAAGTCCAAATATGGACCCAGGACGACTCCAAGTTGCCTCGGAGCGTCCCAAGGACGACCCCGAGAGGCTCAAAACACTTGGCAGCTTCAAGCTGCGCAGTGGTATTTGCATTCTCGCCTTTTCGCTTCCGATGGGTTTCTGAAGCCTCAAAATGTCTCCAGGATCATCCAAGGTCCAAAAAGGGTCAAGAAGGCTCCGAGACGGCTCCGCAAGCTCCCCAAGAGCATTGCAAGAGGGCCTCACGAGGCGATTTGTGCGGCTCAAACAAATGGGGGAGGCTGATAGAAGCCACTCGTTTTTTTCACCCGTGGCCTCCAGGATGGCTCCAAGAGGGCCTCCAAGGTCCCGCACACAAGCTGCATAGCAACAAGATGCCAGGGTCTTGGCTGCTGAAAAGGAAGGATCAAGTCGGGCACACCACCACAATTAGGGCGGCGCTGGCACGTCTAGACACGCAGCGGCCGAGGGGGCCGCGGCCCAGACTGGCGGCCACGAAAAGCCAGAGAATACAATAGATGTACGACGAAGTTCGCGCGTCCCGACAACATCAGTGCACGGGCCCCCAAGGTCCAAAACAGGGCATCAAGCGAGACCCAAGAGCGCCTCGAAGGCTCCCCCACAGCCCCCAAGAAAGCTCCAACATGTATCTAAGAGGCCTCCAAGAGGCTCCCAGGGGCCTGTAGGATCACCTTTGTTTGCTTCTTCGTTCCACTATAAGTCTGTGCATGATGGTGGACTTACCATACGCAACTGTCCGAGAGAGTACGAAGAGCTCAAAGATGATTGATTGAAGCCGTCCGCGCTTCATCTGGCCGTTTCGCTCGGGATATCCTCATATCTTGTCGCTCTTGAAAATCGGACGCACCCATCACGCAGATCGTGACGACAAGGTGAACAAAAACATTTGAATTTCCAACACGCAAACATAAACCGTCAATCGTAGAATGGCTTCCAATACGCCAGCCCGTTGGGCTAAGGTGGTCTAGCGAGTTTTTTGTCTTTCCAAAACCCTCTTCCCTTCGAGGAGGGGTACCCCCCCTCTCCTCCCTGAGGTTTCTTTGGGGTGGAGGTCACGAGGTGGCATGGCGCTCAAGATGGCCCAAGTTGGCTCCAAGAGGGCGCCCGATGCTCCAGGATCGCCTCCACGATGGCTCAAGATACGTAGCCGACGATGATTCAAGGTAGCTTCCAACATACCTCCAAGATGCCCGACGAGGGCCACGAGACGGTTCCAAGTGCCCTCGGAGCCCCCTCATGACCCCCTCAAAAGGCGCACATCCTTCAACAATCACAACAATCCAAGGAACATCAATGAGTTGTGCATTCTCGCCGTTTCGCTTCCGATGCGACTTTTGAGGCCTCAGTAGTATCGTAAGATAGCCCAAGAGAGCCCCCAGAGGCTCTGAAAACGGCCCCAAGAGCGCCCAAGAGCGCCACAAGAGGCGATTATGATGGCCCCAGGGGCGGGGGTGGAGCATTGGAGACCTGCCCCCTTTGTGACCGATGGCCTCCAAAATGGCCCCAAGAGGCCCTCCGGTGCTCCCAAGGACCCCCCGCGGGGGCCCCAAAAGAGTTCCAAAGGGGCCACAACACCCTGCAGAGGAGCTCCAAGAGGACCCCAAGATCCCCCAAACGAGTTCCAAGAGAGAGCTCCAAGAGGCCATTGTGAGGGCTCTGTCCTCGCCCTCGTTGTCCTCCTCCTCCGCCTCCTTCTCCTCCTCCTCGTCGTCGTCATTGCCCTCATCGTCGTCCTTGTCCTGTCCCTCCACTTCCGCGTCGTCGTGGTCGTCGTCGTCGTCCTCCTCCTCCTTCTCTCCTCCTCCTCCTCCTCCTCCTCCTCCTCCTCCTCCTTCCCTCGCCCCCACGCGGGCCCCAGAGATGGCTTGAAGAGGCCCTTCAAGGCCACCCCCATTGCTCTCACAGATCTCTCTGTTCCCCCTTGTTGCCCGCTTTGTTTCAATACATGTCTCTTCGTGCCGTTTGCCGTCAACTCTCATGGGATGGGCAGGGTTCTTCAATAGGCTTGTGGGGATACGCGAAGCGTGAATACTTCTGTTGCGCACCGTTGTTAGAACAACTGTGCCTTTTCAATGGTTTCCGGTGTCGCTCTTTAACATGATATAAGAAAGCTGCCAACACATTTCGGTATGTAGTGATGTTGCACATCACTGCTAGAACGTCATACGTTTTCTTTGGGTTACAAATGCAAGTATCCATCCGACTATGCTCTAACCTCTGTCGGACCTCCAGGCTCGAGCCGCAGGCCCTTAAGGCGGCCAAAGGGAGCCTGAATTCGGCACTACCCTCAAACACTTCGCGCCTCATGGGCTGCCACGGGCCCTCAGCTGACCCCTCAGACGGTTCAAAGGAGCTTCGATTCGGCACACGGCTCACGCTCTTCGTGCCCCATGGTCCCATGGTGCCCAAAAGACCCTCTGTTGGCTCCTGAGACCGCCTGCCCTATCCCCTCCAAGAGACGACACGATGGCCCTCAGACAGACTGCAACGAGTGGTGCCCACCCTGATCGAAGCCCTTCCCCGAACACGTGCTGGTTGCAGAACCTGCGTGAGAGTTTCCCCTGGGGGCCCGCCCTGACTCCCGCCCTGCAGGCTCTGTCAAACCTTCAAGCTGAAAGCGATAGACATAATCTCCTGGTCGTCTCCGGAGGCATCTAAGCACGAGGCTGAAGCAGCCTTCACCGGGGCCGCGCAGGTCAGGACTCCGGCTCTCATCGACATGTGCCCATGCCATTTCTGGGGCTTGATGCGGACATAACGCGCCAACTCCGAGGCCGCAAACATTCCTTTCACCTTGGACGAGCGATCCCTGTTGCCTGTATAGGTGCCGCCGATGGTTTGCCAGTGAGTACCATCCAAAGAGGTGGCCACCTGATATTTGGTCACCCACTGATTCCAGTTTGCACGACCTTGGGTTACAACGCCCCTTACTGACATCGCTGCTCCCAGGTCCATCTGCATCCACTGGCCCACACTGTTGTACCTGGAGCTCCAAGCCTGCACCGAGTCGAGCGCGGACCGGGCGTGCCCAGTCCCTGCCGCTTGGTTGCCCCAAACGCTGGAGTACGTCCGCGTGTTCTCCGGCTGGTTGTCCCAAACGCCACTGCTCGCAGAGCACGAGACCGCACTGCTCGAAGGGTCGGCACCTGCGGCAGCCCCCACCGCGACCGACTTGCCCGTCGGGGGGGCCGAGCAGGTGAGGGCGGCGGCTCTCATCGACATGTGTCCATGCCATGCCTGGGGTTTGATGCGGATATAGCGCGCCAGCTGTGGAGACGGGAGCATCGCCTTCACCTTTGTCGAGCGGTCACTGTTGCCAGCGAAACGGCCGCTGATATCCTTCCAGTGCTTCCCGTCCAGGGACGTTGCCACCTCGTAGCTGGTCACCCACTGATTCCAGTTTGCACGACCTTGGGTCACAACGCCGCTGACAGTCACTGATGCCCCCAGGTCCATCTGCATCCACTGGCCCACACTGTTGTACCTGGAGCTCCAAGCCTGCACCGAGTCGAGCGCGGACCGAGCGTGTCCGGTCCCTGCCGCTTGGTTGCCCCAGACGCTGGAGTACGTCCGCGTGTTCTCCGGCTTGTTGTTGGTGCTGCTGCCGCTCGCAGTGCACGGGCCCGAGGAGGCTGACGCTGCTTCCGCATCGGCGTCGGACTCCACCATAATCTCGGGACGTTCCCACAGCTCGCTCGCATTCGGCGTTCTGCTGTCGGCCAGGTCCTCCACCTCATCCTCCCCGATCGGCTACACGCAAGAGCGACCTTGGACAAGCGTGACCTGTGGTGCGCGGCTTTCCGATCGCTGCATGTGATACGACAGACGACAGTAGTGGCCTGCGTGCTTGGGTCTGTCTTCCCCGCCCCCCTGAAAACCGCGCACCAAAGGCCACTCCAGCGAAGGGTCACTCCTACGTGTAGCCCACTCGTCCTGGGCCGAGTGGGCCGCCTGGCTCTCTGCTGCCAAGCTGGTGCCAGACTCCACGGGAGCCTCCTCCGCACGCTCCCCCAGCTCGCTCGAGCTCGGCATCCTGCTGTCGACAGGGTCCTCTGCGAGGCGGAGCGCTGTCCATGTCCACCGCCAAGGGGGGCCGAGGCCTCGGGGACCTGGGAGCCAGGACGACCGGTGCCCCAGGCGGTGGAGCCGGATCACTCCCCGCCTCGCATCCTCTGCCTCGTCCTCCTCCGCCTCCCCCGCCTGCACCCGGCCGGCGGCCTCGCCTCGACGGGAAGGAAGCGGGCCCCGAGGGAACGGGTCCCTGGATCCCGGGGCTGCTCCTCGGCACCGACTCTGCCTCCCGAAGCGGCCTCTGACGGTCCCGGGGGGCACGCGGGGGGCCCCGGGAACTCGAGAGCGGCCACCGGCCATCGCTTCGGCTTCGTGCGCTTGCTCTTGTCGCAAGACGTTCCAAGATGCTCCTCGATGGTTTTCGCCGAAAACGAAGGCACACGCCCGAGCGACGCTAAGGCCAAACGCCTCCAGGACCCGCTGTCCTCTGAGCCCGATTGCTCCACGGCGATATCGCCCTCCGCTGCCCCGCTGGCGCCGGCTTCCTCGGCTGCCTCCTCCGCACGCTCCCACAGCTCGCTCGCGCTCGGCATCCTTCGAAGAAGAAGAAGAAGAGACGGCATAAGCCTACACTTCGGGACCTCCGAGCGGATTTCTTGGATCGGCACTGGGGGCCAGAGGCGCCGACAGGGGGGCCCAGCGCCGCCCCGGAAATCTGCGGGGAGCTCTGCAATGCTATGCTTGTGCAGCTTCTTACTATAAGTATGCGTCTGATTATTCTTATTATTACTACTATTAGCCGCCGAACCCCAGAGGCGTGTGGGAGTAGATTTCTCACATCAACTCATGCACCTAGTCTTGGCCCTCCTCACCCGACACTTCTCGCCCAGGATCAACCCACGCCCCTCAACACGTCTAACATCCACGCCCTCCCCCAACACTCTGATCCTTCACCGCGCCTCGGCCACTCTGATCCTTCACCGCGCCTCGGCAACCCAACCCTTTCGAGTTCTGTCTTTCGGGCCCCCCACTCGACAACTCCTCACCTGGGCCCAACCTGGGCCCCACCCCGATACCCCACCGCGTCCCAGCATCCTACCATCCCGATGCCCGTCCTTGACGCCGCCCACCCGACAATCCCTGGCCTGGTACCCCCCGCCGGCATCCTGGTGCTCAGGAGCTGCCCCCCGCCGACATCCTCGCTCTCGGGAGCTGTGTTCGTGGGACCCCCCACCCTGCAATTTCTCGCCAGGATCCGACCCCGTCCTAGTCCCCCCCGCTAAAACATGCTAAAACATCCTCGTTTTCGGGAAGTGTGTTCTTGGAACCTTGCAATGTCTCGCCCGGCCCAGACCTCCTCCGCCGACACCCTGGTGCTCTGGAGCTGTGCTCTTGGAACCCACCTGCAATTTCCCACCCAGGTCCGACCCCGTCCCAACAACCCCCGCGGAAATCCTCGCTCTCTGGAGCTGTGTTGCTGTGTTCTTGGGGCCCCTCCACCCTGCAATTTCTCGCCCGATCCGACCCCCCGCCGACATCCTGGCTCTCGGGAGGTGTGTTCTTGCAACCCCACGCCCTGCAATTTCTCGCTTGGATCCGACCCCGTGCTTTGTTGCTGTGTTATTGGGCCCCCCCGCCCTGCAATTTCCCGCCAAGATCCGACCCCGTCCCAGACACCCCCGCTGACACCCTGGCTTTCGGTAGCCGTGTTCTTGGAACCCCACATCCTGCAATTTTTCGACCAAATCCGACTCCGTCCCAGACCTCCCCCGCCGACATCCGGAGTCTCAGAAGCTGCGTTCTAGGGCCCACCTCATTACAATTTCTCGCCCGGGTCAGACTCCGCCCCAGACCACGTCGCTGAAATCCTCGCTCTAGGGAGCTGTGCTGCCGTGTTTTTGGGACCCCTTACAACTTCTCGCCCAAATCCGACCCTGTCGGGGACCCCCCACGCCGACATCCGGGCTCTTGAGAACTGTATTCTTGGAACCCCACACCCTATAATTTCTCGCCTGGATCCGACTCCGCCCCAACCCCCCCCCCGCCGAAATCCTGGTGCTCGGGAGCCGTGTTGCCGTGTTCTTAGGGACTCCAATCTTACAGCGTCTCGCCCAGATCCGACCTCGTCGCAGACCCCCCCGCCGGCATCCTCGCTCTCGGGACCCCTTAAGCTGTGTCCTTGGGACCCCCCCACCCTGCAGTTCCTCGCCCATGTCCGAGCCCGTCACAGGCCTCCCCGCCGACATCCCCGCTCTCGGGGGCTTTTGTCTTCGAATTCACAACCTTGCGATGCCACATTTGGCTCTCGGGAACTGTGTTCTCGGCACCTCCCACAATGCAATATCTTGCGCGGCTCCGACCTCGCCCCAGACCCCCCCGCCGACATCCTGGCTCTCGGGAGCTGTGATCTTGGGAACCCGCACCCTACAATGTCCCGCCTGGATCCGACCCCGCCCCATGGTGCTCGGGTGCTGTGTTCTAGGGCCCCCCTCCTTGCCATTTCTCGCCCGGATCCGACCCCGCCCCAGACCCCCCCGCCGACAGTGCTCGGGAGCTGTGATCTTGGGACCCCCACCCTGCAATTCCCCGCCCGGCTCCGACCGGGTCCCAGACCCCCCCGCCGACATCCTGTCTCTCAGGAGCTGTGTTCCAAGAGCCCTCCACCCTGCCCTTTCGCGCCCGGGCCCGACGCAGTCCCGGGCCCCCCCCGCCGACATCCCGGCGTTCGAAAACTGCGTTCTTAGGACCCCGCACCCTGCAATGTCCCGCCCAGATCCGGCCCTGTCCCCCTCCCCCGCCGACACCCTGATTCTCGGGAGCTGTGTTCCAGGGGCCGTCGCCCTGCAATTTCTCGCCAGGCCCCGACCCCGTCCCAGACCACCACGCCGACATCCTCGCTTTCGGGAACTGTGTTCTTGGGGCCCTCCACCCTGCAATGCCTCGCCCGGACCTGACCCCGCCCCAGGCCTCCCCCGATGACATCCCGGTGCCCGGGGGCCGCGTTCTTTCCCCATTTGGCAATGTCTTGCCCCGATCCGACCCCGCGTCAGAATTCCTCGCCGACGCCCTGGCGCTCAGGAGCAGCGTTTTTGTTGGGACCCCGCGCCCTGCAACTTCTCCCCGGGATCCGACCCCAGTCAAGACCGCCACGCCAACATCCTGGCCCTCGGGGGCTGTGTACTTGGGACCCAGCACCCTGCAACTTCCCGTCTGGATCCGACCCCGCCAAGGCCCCCCTCTGACATCCTGAGTTTCGGGGGCTGAACTCTTGGGGCCCCCCGCCCTGCCATTTCTCGCCGGGCTCCGACACCGCTCCGAACTTCCTGGTGCTCGGGAGCTGTTTTCTCGGGGCCCCCCACCCTGCAATCCCCCGCCTGGCGCCGACCCCGGCCCAGACCACCCGCGCCAACATCCTGGTGGTCGGGGGCTGTGTTCTTGAGACCCCCCACAATGTAATTTCTCGCCCCGACCCGACCTCGCCCCGCATCCCCCGCCGACATCTTGGCTCTCGGCAGCTGTGCTTCGGGGGCCCCCACCCTGCAATCTCGCCAGGATCCGCCCACGCCCCAACCCACCCCGCCGCTGGCTCACGGGAGATTGTTTTCGAGAACCCTCAGCCTGCAATCTCGCGCCCGGCTCCGACCCCGGCCAAAACCTCCCCCGCCGACATCCCGGCGCTCGGGAGCAATGGTCCAGTGGACCCCCTTCCTGCCATTCCCCGCCCCCCGGCTCCGACCCCACCCCAGACCCTCCCGCCGACGCCCTGGTGCTCGGGAGGAGCTGCACTCATGGCACGTCGCGCGCAGCAAGTTCTCGCCCGGCTCCGACTCCGCCCCAGACCCCGCCGTCATCCTGGTGCTCGGGGGCCCAGCAATAATGTCTCGCCCAGGTCCGAACACCCCGCCCTAGACCCCCCAACCGAAATCCTCGCTGTCGGAATCTATACTCTCGCGGCCCCCCACCTTGCCATGTCTCGCCCGGGCCCGACCCTGTCGCAAACCCCCCGCCGACGTCCTGGGTCTCGGGACATGCTTCTTGGCCCGAAATTCCTTGCGTCCCACGCCATGCAAACTTTTCGCCCAGGCACGACCCGGTCCCAGACCCCCCCGCCGACGCCCTGTCTCTCGGGAGCTGCGATCTAAGGCCTCCCCCCACCCTCCAATTTCAGATCTTGGCTCTCGGGAGCTCCGGACCCTCCGACTTGCACTCGCGCGGGCCCGACCCAGCCCCAGAGCCCCCCGCTGACATCCCGGTGCTCGGAAACGTCTTCTAGAGACCCTTTCGCGCTGCATTGTCTCGCCCAGATCCGCTCCCGTCCCAGACCCCTCCCCGCCGAAATCCTGGCGTTCGGGGGCCGTTTCTTGCGGCCCCCCACCCTGCAATGTCTCGCCCAACTCTGACCCCGCCCCAGACCCCCCCCCCCGCCGGCATCCTGGCTCTCGGCGCGCGATTTCTCGCCAGGATCCGACCCCGCGCCAGATGCACGCCGACGAGCACTGCGTCTCCTTCCGCGTCGCATCTTCACTCGAAATGCACGCCAGCGCTGCCACATGCGTTCGAAGCTCCGCCTCGATGATAGGCCCCTGCCAACGGCGCCCGCGAAAGGCGCAGCGCTTCTTCGGCGGCACTGCGCCCCCCCGTGACACGACGCTCTCGCATGCCAACGCGGCGATCGCCCCCGGACCGTCTGCCCCGGCCCCGCGCGCCGCCCCCGCGGGCACCCGCGCCGCAGCGGCGCGGGCGCGGTGCGCGTGGGCTGCGCCGGCTGTCTCCAAGTCGACATCTTCGAGCCCGCCCCGTCTTTTCGTTCCGCGCAGACTGCGGCTGCGCCGCGCGCCGCTCTGGGCGCGGGCCACGGCGCCGCGGCGGTGATATGTTCCCGCTCATGCTTCTCCACTGCTCGGCCTGCGGCGCCCTTTCTCCGCCAGCCTCTCGGAGCAGCGCCGGGCGCGCTGGCGGCGGACTGGGCGGCGACCAATCGGGGAACGGGGCCCGCCGTCGCCCAGTGTCATCTCGCCATGTTCGTCGCGGCCCGCCGCGGCCACGCGCCCCGCGGCCGCGCCGTCCAAACTAGCGCTCTTGCCAATGATGCGCGAGCGCTCCGCGGGCCCGAGAGCCCCCGCCCCCGCGCCCCGCGGCGGTGCACTCGAGACCCCGCGCCCCCCATCGTCCATCATCTCTCGTTTCAGCGGCGCTCGACCGAACGCGACCCCCCCCCTGCAGTTCAGCGCCAGTAAACAGCGCGCCCACTCCGCGCGCCGCGCCGATCTGGCCATCGAGCCGCAGGCGCACGCGAACGACGACATCCATCGACAGAGCTGCGCCCCGAGGCCATGCCTCCGCGCGGCAAAACGCGAATCACCGATGCCACGCGAGCGCCCAACGCGCGCTTCGCAAGCTGACCGTCGCCCCCCCCCCCCCCCCGCGCTAAAACGCCCGGGCGGGCTTCGCCGCGCCCCCCCGCAGCGCGGCGCCGGCCACCCCCGCCAGGGGCTAAGCGCAAATCGCCCCATGCGCACAGCCACCCAAGTTTCGCGGAGCACTCGCGATGTCAGTTCTGGCCCCCCCGCGCAATTTCCGCAGGTGCATGCAGG